CATTTTCTGAACATTTAACAATTAAATTAAACTTTTTTGGAACATGTTGCAGACATCGATTTCAGAATGAGCAGATGCTCCCAAAAAAACAATGAGTATGATGAGGTAAAACATGAAATTTCTTGTCTTTCTACTATTTTCTTCTAACTACAGATCAGAGGAATTGTATTGATTCAAATAACGTGAATTTTCATGAAAGATGGTAACAGAAGAGTTATAAGAGAAAAATATATAACAGTTAGGAAGAGTATAAAAAGACAACAGCATAATTTTCACGTCTTCACATTTCACAAAGGGAAATTCCACTGATTTTTTTAATGTCTGCACAACTCAATCATTGAGATGTACTCAAAGTCATTCAGAGTGCATCGAATATGTGTCTCTGTGTTTTATATGTAATGTTGATACTGGTAAAATACTGGTAAATGATTACTATGAGTACTACTTTGCCTTTGAAAGCCCCATGAATGGGTATAAAAATCCATTTTAAGCCAAAACTTTAGTTCAAAACTATCATAAAACAATGTCTCAGACATCAGGTAGCTTATTTGTAACAAGTTTTTGTAATAACTTTTTGTGTGGGAGCTTTTAGAGGCATTAAGCACTTCAGCCATCAGGCGTTCCCATCACCATCACTGTGAACAATAATGATTTAATGAAGCTAGAGAAATCACATTGTCTCAATAATTTAATTATGAAGAAATTTTACCCCCAAAAAAGTACATTCCCTTTTAACAAGATTCAATCTACATTTAATCTAAATGTATTCTGAACATGTCACTTTTTATGATATAGTAACTGAATGTCACCTTCACTTTATCAAAATATTCTGCCCGACTCTAATGGCAATAGTGAGAAAAAAACAACAAACAAACAAAACAAAAAACATAGTCCAGTTTCTTGACTTCTTACATATGTAAGGACTCACTCTTGTATATTCCTTAGATCAGGGTGCTCAATCCTGGTTCTGTAGCTCTACCACCCTGGAGAGTCCAGATCCAACACACCTGTGTCTATCAGTCAGAATTCAGAGTCCCTGAAAGCCTTCAATACCTAAATCAGTTTTGTGAGGCTTAATAGTTAAAATACTTTTTTTGCCATATAAATCAATCATTACTAGACAAATAACAGGAACAGGAATGGATGTGGTCTAAGAAAACAAAAATCTTTATCAAACCATGTTTTTAACAAACCTACATGTCATAAATATTCACAAATCTAGAAATTCTATTGAAGAAAATGCAACTAAAGCATCTTCCCTTTTAAGAAGTCTATAAAATAGCTCCATGCCTATCTACTGTTAGAAGTTTTAATTTAGAAATAAAAAAAAAAAACAGAACTGTAGTGAACCTGCCTGGAAGAGGATAAAAGTGTACTTTGACCCCTAACACAGTAAGGAGAATTGTAGAGAGGCAAAATTTTCTACAAGATTAACGACTGAAAACCTGTGAGCTGAGTTTATGAGGAAAGTCGAAAAAAGAGGACCCACACTGGATAAAAAACAGATAGAAATGGAAAATGTACTGACAAAAAATTACCTGTACATGTACTTTAGACCTAAAAAGAATTCTAGAACACTCTTGTGGATTCCTGACCATTTTTGGAGTTAGAGGATGACTGACTACTGTTTTAAACAAAATATTGAATCATAAAACCAGGTAAAAATGACAATTACAAGCTCATTTTAAAGGTGAGCCCTACCTCTCCGATATGAAAACAAAACCAAAAGATAGAAATCAATACAGATCTGTCAGTTCAGGGTCGAAGAGAAAATGAATAAGCACTGAAGTTACAGAAGGCATTGTAAGAGTAATACTGACAATACACAATAAAAATTAGAATAGTTAGAAACAAAGAACAAGGATATGAAACAAACTGACCACAACAACTAATGAAGTTCTTCATCATTATTTCTTATCAATGAATATGATAAAAATCACCACATCATACCCTGATATATAAGAACTCTCTCCTCCTTCTTTAACTTGAGATGAGCTGAAGACTGAAGTAAGAAGTATTAAGTAATAAGAGATAACCTGTGTTTACACAAAAGAAAAAAAAAAACAAATATAAGTTCATTAGGTTTGGCTGTGGTTGAGGCAGTGTAGTGTTTGGTCAGTGTAGCTGAAAGACTTAGACTCACCTAAAAGTGAAAACACAGATATCAGACTACCTAACCAGTTTAGCCAATTCATAAAGGCTCTAAATTGTCCCTATAAACTGATACAAATAGGTATCAAACATGAAAATAATGTGCCATCAATACTGAACGAGATTTCCGTTTGTCTACTGAAGTTTGTCACTTGTGTTGAGGCATGAACTTGGCTGTGCTCAGTAAAGCAGCTAAATAACTATGAAAACACATCGCTAAACAAAGAACAAAGAAATCCTGTCAGACTGCTCTGTCTCCGTATCTGACAAAAAGGACACTTTTAAAGGCTGTGAGTCTCATCCTTGTTGTGGCATTCATCGTGAAAAACATTGTATGTACATATGTATGTAAATCTGTAAAACCTTTTGTTACAAATCGAGTATTCCGATTAAAGGCTGTGGGGGTATCTAGAAGGTTAACAGAAAACTCTGCGCATATACAGGATGACTCCTTCACTTCGTATACAGAACATTTTATAATTTTACAGCTTTATCTGTATTCCTTCACCTCATAACAATCATCTTCATGCTCCACTAAAGCAGTGATTTCCCAACCCTGGTGCTGAAGGCACACTGCCTTTCACATTTTAGTGCTTTTCCTGCTATACTACAACTCAGTAAGGGGTTGGTAATGAGCTGAATGGCTCATTCAATAGAATCGTTCATTCAAAGTATTTTTATTTGAACAAAACCAGTTGATTTACATATTTCCACATGAAGTAAGTTTTTAGATTAAAATGATGAGCCATATTTACAGTATGGAGGATCTGGAGAGATTCTAAACTGTGGAGGGGTTTCAGATTCTTTGCTCTGTATCTTCAGTCTCATTAAGCATTATAGCAGAAATGATGCATAAAGTAGGAGTGCCAGTAACTGTGACACTTGTTTTGTTTTTCAAAGGGTTTTTCTTCAACTAGATTTATTTCAATATCTTGCATATTCTCAGTGTGAGATTGAGCCAGTTAACCACAAATACTTTTTTTTCTTTAATAATGATTACCAAGGGTGCCAATAATTATGGGGTTAAATGTTCAGCCTACTGGAAGAATACAGAAAAAAACTGAATAATGACATGATTGTAATATCTGTGCCTCAAAATTGTCGAGTTTGAGGGGTGTTTTTACTGCTAAATATGTTTAGTACAACTAGTTTAACTGCTTGTTACCAGTTTTCTTTTTAGTATGTTAAACTGATTAACCATTTTTTAGTGTACAGTTCAGACAGTAATGGCTAGTTAATTATGCACTTACTATTTCTATTGTCATTACTGCTAATGATGAACAGTCCTATCTGTTTTTAATAATGTAATAAGTAATAAACATCTGTATTTCTTTATGCATATTTATTCAAACATAAACTCATCTCTTCCACAAAAGCCAAACTGGCACATAAATCACAGCACACTGTACATATTTCATATTTATTTACACTGTTTACATAAAGTTACAGTACACCATAAAACATGGAACAGAGCAGATGTTGATTTAAAGTGTTTTTGAGGTTTGCATTCATGACAATTTGGCTTCATCTAAAATGTTGCTTTCAACTAAAATGTTTTATTCAAAGTATGGATTTGAATTAAATAAAAATGTCTAATTTCTTGTCAGCACATGAAGGATTTTAGGCTGAAGTGACAAATCATTTTTTACAGTCTGAGTTCTATTGTAAAGTTCACTATATTCAGTCCACTGAAACGTCTTCTTTTACCCAAGATCCAGCCTAGGCAACATTAAATCATAAAAACATGCGAAAGAAAATAAATGAAATGTCTCGTACAACTTACACACTTTTACACTGAATTACGTCAAACATTAAACCACGACAAAGATGATCTGAAATCCCCAGCTTTACTGTTTATTCTGAGAAATAAATGATTTAACACCATTTTACAGAATTATTTTGTCTTTGATTTTTTGTTCACCAAAAACAGATATAAAATTACATAAACTGACTTTACAGTACTTCATCATACAAATGCACACATACATGCACACTCTCCCAACTTACACATGCGTTTAAGTGAGTTCTTTCTTTGCTTGTGTATTTGTTTTGTGATACAATATACAATACTTTGTATATGGATCAATCTGCTGAATCGGTACAATGTCAAGTTGAAAAATGATCCTATGCCTTAATTATTTTTATTTTATTGAAATACGTAACCGAACATTGCAATCTGTCACTACCAAAACAATCATAACACTACAGAAACTTACCAAATGTTTGAGTAGTCACTGTTTTGGTAATGGCCATTTTAGCTAGTTTTGAGCAACTCAAAAATGGTGGGCACATTGTTAATATTGTTAATAAAACACCAAAAAGGTTACTTAATTGCAGAAAATTTGTGTTTTGGGAGTGACAATTCTTAAATCTTGGGACACATCTACTTAAAAATAATGGCATCTAACTGCTCATCATTTGACATTTTTAAAATAAAGACATGATAAACTCATGATAAAACTAAGTCTTCCAGCTTTAAAAGAAATCAAAAAGGTCATTAAAAAAAACTTTAAAACAAACAAAAATGCCATTAAATGTGGCATTATTTTGTCAAGTTAAAATTTAGGGGATAGGGTTTGAGACAGTTACCTCCATTTAAAAATGACCCTATAAATGATGATGTATATATTGAGCTTATTACTATTCAATTAATGCCTTGGGTTTAAATAGATCATACCATAATTCTTATAAATATATAAGGTCTGAATACTTCAATATTTTTTTTTTTAACCACAGATGCACAGTTTAAACTAATTCAGTAGAATGGTCCATTTATAGGGCCTCAATTTAGAATCCATTAACATGTTAATTTTGTATATAATTATGGGTAGACTGTGGAATTAATAACCTCAGATTCTGTCTTCGTCTGGATCATAGTAGGGATTCCTCGTGCCTCTGGAGCCATACCCATTCCCATACTCATTCCTATTCCCATACCCATTCCTGGAGGGGGTCTGGCTCCTATTGCCCCTAGTGTCATAATCGTAGGGATCATAGTACTTTTCCATCTGTAAAAGAAACACCGTATAAGTCAAACAAGCCTCCAGCAAAGTGCAGAAGTAATGATCATTTTGGTGATGTTCAGGCTGCAATGAACAGTGTTCTTACCGCTATGTTCTCTGGCTGGTCTTTAGTCACCAGGGCACGTGTGCTTCCACTGTCTGACGTTTCCAGATTAGCTGGTTCCCAGTCAGAATTATGGTTTGCCCGTGGGATTCTGGGAATTCCTACAGATTTATGGAAATTCATGTCACCAAACGCACCACTGTCGTCTGAAAACTGGGTGCTTTTCTTTGACTCTCTGAAAGGTGAACACACAAATGTGCATAAAATATCATAACATGAAACTGCATATGCATTGCTGAAATGCTGTGTTGTGAAATGATGCAACCTCACCTGCAGCTCAGAACTATAACAGCCACAAGAGCGGCGATTAACAGCGCACCCAAAGCACAAGAGATAATCACCACAGCCAAGAGATAATCTGTAGAGAGAAGTAATTTAAGGTTCATAATTACATTAATAATACTCAGGCATTCTTCTTTTAAAACACAGCCTGTTTTAAATATTGTGTACAAGCATAATTCATATTAAGTTTTATTATAATGTTAACCCTTAAAATCCTTAGCTTACCTAAGGCTTACTATTTAGTTATGTTACTATTTACTTATGTAAACTAGCTAGGTTATTCTTAAGTTATAGGAGTGAGGAATAGAAGTGGACATGCGTGGCTCCTGGCCATTTAAAGGGATAGTAATAATAATATCACTTACATTCATCACAGTTGAAACCAGAATAACCAAAATCACATCTGAAACAAAGAAAGCCCCATAGTCTATATAATATACATTTTGCATCAAGCACAAGTCATCATATTTTTAGTGCTTTCAGTTTCCAAATCTGAAATATTTTCACTGTCCATATGTAAAAGTGTACACTCACGCTTCACACGTCTCCGAATTCACTGCTTTCTCACCGCTGGGACAAGCTACAGAGAGAAAGCATTCTCACCTCAGAGCAGTTCAACAAAAAATTCACTACACTGTAATGGTGAAGACTCAAGACAATGCACTGAAATGTCTGAGGTCCTCAGAAGCACATTCAGACCAACACAAAAACAAACTTACCAACGCAGAACTGTTCTGTTGTAGTCGAAATCACATATTCGGCTTTGCAAGTGCAGGTGGCAAGACCATCTATAGTTTCACAAACTGTGGTCCTCTCATCACAGTATTCCTTACAACTTGTTTTCCTTGCTGAAGATGGACCAAATAGATGAGACTTACAGCAAGGCATACTTTTATAAACAAAACACAATTCTTTGTAATGTTTTCTTGCATAGTACAGTATGCCTGGGTGACATCCAAAAATAATTAACACTATATTTTCTATTAAAAAATATGACTGTTGATTATATGTCCCCCCAACCAATAAACATCATTCGATGCAGCTTTGACCTACTTTCTATTCTGTTTTTCAGTTTGTTTGTTTTTTAACATTACCTGTTTCAATGAAAATATATAATAAAGTTCACATATTACATAATGCAAGACTGAGTAACCCATCATCTGTTGAAAACTACTTCAAAAGAAACTTCAAACTGCAAGTGATTTCCAAAGCCATGTCCACATGCTTTACACTTTAAAAAACATGGTGCTTTCTGTAATATAACCACCAGGACTCTTAAGCTGTACGGAATACTGCAAATTCTACTCAGACAATAAATTACATGAAGCAGAAACAGGGGGAATTTATTCTACCATAGCTTAACGGTGAACACAGTACTTAATTTTATTTATTACCTTTTTCTGACCCTGGACTTCTGATTTCCCACCTAAGATAGGGATCAGAGGAACTTTCTCTCCAGGTTAGAGCTAGCTGCTCTTGGGCAGTGTTTCTCAACCTTGGCCACATTGCCATGCATTTTTAAGTGTTTTCCCTGCTCCCAACACACCTGATCTAACTAATCAGCTCCTTAATAGCCCATGATTGAGTGAGTTAAAGCAGGAAAAGCACTAAAATGTGCAGTGCAAAGGGCCTTCCAAGTTCCAAAGCACATCTGCATTTATTTTTGGTTCTATGCACTCAAGCTAAACTTCACGTAAAGTAAAATAATTCGAAGGGGAAGAGCCGTGTTGTAGGTAAAGCTAACATTGCAAACAGCTTCTTAACAAACCTCCCTTTTTCTCTCTCCTCTCCTAAACAGAAAAAATGACTACTAGGGTGCACTCCTGCACACCTCTTAAGCGACTGCAAAATTTTTAATTTTTGAAATTTATAACAGTAAATTAGTTCTCTCTAGTATCTGTAGACTTACAGCAAGGCATACTTTTATAAACAAAACACAATTCTTTGTAATGTTTTCTTGCATAGTACAGTAGGCCTGGGTGACATCCAAAAAGTATCTGTAGAGAGATACTAGAGAGAACTAATTTCCCAATTTGGTGATTATTAGCTGTTACACATCACCATCAGGTTACTTGTCAGTCATCAACGTTATCCGATTACATCGCTCTATCGCCCAGGCCTGTACAACAGTGTTCAATTAGTTCCAGTTTGGGTAAAGTTAGCAGATTTCACCAGTTATAAATTATTTATTAGAGCAACTAGATCTGAACACAGATAGAGATGAGTACATACGTGCAAATCCAGTAAAAAGTCCACCACTTTCATTTGTCGCACTAGTTAACAAACCATTTACTAATGCATCATTGACCTCTGATGAAGCAAGGAAGAAACTTTCCACGTCTGCGAGCACACTGCCTTTCCTGTGCAATGGCACAACAGTAATGAGAAAAAAACAAAACATGCACGTTCATTCAAAAACAACAGTTTTCAGTAATGCGTATGGCACCATCAAACAGTGCTGGGGTAGTTACTCAAAAAAAGTAATCCATTAAAAATGTCTAATTACTGCTCAAACTTTTATGGGATTAAGAGACTAATTAATAATTAGTAAAGTAATTAGTACATTTCTGTGTCCAGAAAAAGTGATCTCACTACTCATTACTTCTACATTGCTCTCTAAAAACCATACAGATCTGCATCAAAGGAAAATATATAAGGGTAGTCCTTATTCACAAAGACAAAGCCTATCACTGTAAATATCATTTTAAAGGTATACCGCTATCCCCGCTTTCAAACAGGCAGCCAGCAATGCTTGACTGAAACTGATGAAAGCCAAGACTAGCCAAAACAGTTCAAAAAGAACCATCTTGGAATAAAATATTTCAGAATAAAATGTACAGAGCTGTTACTGAGACAACTCTGTCTTGTTTAGGTGAGGTTGGGGCGTGCTCTTTTTAACAAAGGAATCTTTATCCATCAGTTTCATATTAGTGTAATTAGATGCTTCAAAAGATTTTATAGTTATAGTCCTTCCTGTGCTCGCGCTGTGCTACTCACGCTCAGTATAGAATTCTAAACCCATCTTTAGGAAAAAGTAACTGGACACTAGATGTTTCTGCCAGTCTAGATCACATCATTAAAGAGATATAGGTTTAGTATTTTGGTTGAAATAGTCGTGGTTTGAGAAGTTTGACGTTTTGCTGGTTCTTTGCAGTCTCTGTCTTGTTGAAAAGCTTGTTTGGATTCCTATGTCACTATTGAACAGTAGTTTCAATGAAAGTGTCATTGACTTTTAAAAGATGTTGTTATATGATGTTATTAGTTAAGTGTTAGAAAGAGTCTATACCTCTTAGCTTATGAACAAACTCAGTGATGTTTTTAAGCATTTAAAGTGCTAGATTTAGTTCCTTTTTCCTGACTGTTCTTAGCAAACATTCCTGTTCTCCACAGAAATGGTGTCATCTGCAGAAAAATAAATAGGTTTAAGGACTGAGGCTTAAGTACCATTTAAACAGTTGTAAAGGGCAAATCCCTGTTTTTTCTGAAGTATTCATGATAAGGTCTGTAATGAAAACGCCTAGACTTGAGCAGTGCATAGTGTAAGAGATTGAAAAGAAATTTTACTGAAAATAAAAACAGAATACAATGATGTGCAAATCATTTAAACCATGTATTTAATTGAAAATAGTTCAAAGACAACATATCAAATCTCACACTTTTTTGTTGCTTTTTGAAAAATATATGATCATTTTGAATTCAATGCTAGCAACTCGTTTTAAAAAAGTTGGGACATGGGCATGTTTACCACTGTGTTGCATCTTCTTTTAACAAAGCTGTAAGCGTTTTGGATCTGAAGAGATCAGTTGCTGTAGTTTTGAAAGTAAAATATGTTTCCCATTCTTGCTTGATGTAGGATTTCAGCTGCTCAACAGTTCAGGGTCTCCTTTGTTGTGTTTTTCATTTCATAATGTGCGAAATGTTTTCAGTGGGTGACAGGTCTGAACTGCAGCCACCCATCATTTACAACAGAGTCATGCTGTTGTTATACAAGCAGAATGTGGTTTGACATTGTCTTGCTGAAATAATCATGGCCTTCCCTGAAAAAGACATCATCTGGATGGCAGCATATGGTGCTCCAAAACCTCTATACATATCGTTCAGCATTAATGGTGCCTTCACAGATGTGCACTAATGCACCCCATACCATCATGGATGCTGTTTTTTTAACTGTGTACTGATAAGAAGCCGGACGGTCCGTCTCCTCTTTAGCCAGGGGGGCACTGCGATTTGTCGGACCACAGGACACTTTTCCACTTTGCCTCAGTCCATCTTAAATGACCTCAGGCCCAGAGAAGGCGGTGGCGCTTCTGGATCCTGTGTATATAAGGTTTTTTCTATGCATGGTAAAGGTTTAACTTGCATTTGTGGATGCAGCGACGAACTGTGTTCACAGATGATGGTTCTCAGAAGTGTTCCTGAGCCCATGCAGGGATTTCCACTACAGAATCATGTCTGCTTTTAATGTAGCGCTGTCTGAGGGCCCGAATATCATGACTGGCCAATTCAGGTTTTCAGTCTTTTCCCTTGCATACAGAGATTTTTCTGGATTCTCTGAAACTTTTAATGATATTATGTATTGTAGATGGTGAAATCTCCAAATTCTTCTCTATTTTATGTTAAGAAACATAAAAAAACCCTCTTCATCTTTACTTCTAAAAGACTCAGCCTCTCTGAGATGCTCTTTTTGTACCCTATCATGTTACTGACCAGTTGCCGAATAGCCTAATTAGGTGTGAAATTTTCCACCAGGTGTTTTAGTATCACACAGCTTTACCAGTCTTTTGTCGCCCCGTCCCGACTTTTGAAATATGTTGCTGGCATCAAATTCAAAACTGGCATACATTTTTCAAAAAACAATAAATTTTCTCACTTTCAACATTTGATATGTTGTCTTTGCACCATTTTCAATTAAATGTATGGTTTAAATTATGTGGACACCATTGCATTCTGTTTTTATTTACATTTTGCATGGTGTCCCAACTTTTTTGGAAATGGAGTTATACAAGAGCCAACTTTGTGTACCTGCTGCAGGGTAATATGTGGAGTGTTGACCAGTATGATTTGTGCACGGCTATTGCTAAATGATTGTTTACATTAGTGATACTACTGCTCATAACTCTGAAGTAATTAAACAACGTCATGTCAGTTAGCTCACTCAAGAACAGACATTTCTCTAGTAACTTTCGCACATGGATTTATGTGAATGACACTTTTCTTCTTCTTTTTCGGTGAAAGGGTAATAAAAGTTATAGTAATGCCAAAATTTTACGTTAACTGTTCTTACAGTGTTCACAGGACAATGTTCTATCACCTTGATATCAACATTGCTATCAATATTAGAAGTGACTGAAAGGAATGATGCTTACCTTATACTGTAAACTGTAGATCCCATGTATCCTTGTTGACCTTCAAAAATGTTATTGAGCTGTTTTGAATATGAAGAAATTACAGAAACTTGTGTTACTTGAAGAATTTTGTCTCTTTGAAAATTTACCAGATGTTAACCACGTAAAGCAGATGATCCAGAGTATGACTAAAGGTGGAAACATTCTCAAATCATACAACAGGTCAAAAAAAAGGTCTTACCGCTGTAACGATTTCATCTGCTGCTGTTTTGAATACTTCTGACTTATTGTCTTCCATTTCTGGTTTAAATGTTGTATTCACTGTTAGTTCACTGGGGAAAATCTTTCCTGTAATTGATAAAACAGGATTATAATTACCAACAGTTGACATGGACTTAATGCACAGATTACTATTAACTATAAACTAAACTAGAATGTAAAAAATTCCATACAATCCTTTAGTTTATCAAAGGCTTCACATAAATATCCCATTATCCTATAACAAACAGTCCTGCAGTCTGTGTAAAGCAGATCCAAACATTCAGGAAAGGATAAAACAGTAGCTGGAATATACCGAGAATACAGAAATTCACGTTTACGTCGTAGAACAGTCCCTGCCGACACAAACACCTAAAGCCGTCATAGACCTCCTCACATCTGCTGTCTCGAGGGCAAGGGTTTGAACCACAGGGACCTGCCACATTGATAATGAGGAAAAAAAGACAATGTTTCAGATTAAAGAACTGAAGCTTAAAATTCTTCCCTAAAGTCAGCAATAATTTTCCATAGTCTTTAAAAAGTTACATTACTTTCCATTTCTGTCATACCTATTGTAGTGGCAATGGCTGTCATTGTGGCTTCAGGGTTGATAAAGTTCCAACAGCAAAATGAGAGGAGAAAAAAAAAATGATAATTACAACATTAACAGGCATTTTAGGTAAATGAAATGTGTCATATAACAGTACAACAAAATCCAGTGTAGGTACAGCAAGTACCTATACTATAATTGCATATAGTTAAAAATGGAAAATACAATACACTCTCAGAAAAAAAGCTACGAAACTGTCACTGGGGCAGTACCCCTCTTGTCACTGGGGTGGTACCCTCATGGGTACATCTCAGTACCTTTAGTCAGGGAACATAATTGTACCATAATCCACTGAAATAATATTTTCATAGTTGTATTGACTCCACACACCCCGTCTTGTCTCCAGGCTTTTTATTTTATTGTTCTGTTTTAAAACATTAGGATAAGAAAAGGTACAAATGTGTACTTTTCCACTGAGAAAAGCTTATTTAAGGTACACTATTAGATGCCTAAAACCACCATTGTTCCTTTACATTGTTTATACTTTGATGAACAGAAAATGTACCTGCAGAGTACCTTTATTTCTATCAGGGCTGAACGATTTGTGGAAAATATCTAATTGTGATTTTTCTGCCCAATATTGCGACTGTGATTTAAAAGTGATTATTTGCTATAAATTAAATTTGCTTTAATTTTTTTAGCCAAAATGTCCAGCACATCCATTTTTACAAGCTTGAGGCTTGAACACTGACTGCTTACAACTTAAGACAACTGCAAATGATGTAGGACATAATTAAAATTGCAGCTCTTGCAATTTGAAATGGCACTCTTTCAAATAGTGATTTCAATTTAAAAAAAGATTGATCTATCAGGCCTAACACACATCAATACACAAAAATATTAATTAAATAGTGCTTAACTGATTGATATGATTGTCAGTTGTTAACTTGGCAACAGTTTTGCAAGACTCCTGTCTATCGTCATTTATGTTCGATTTTTAAGTCAGACCACTTTTTGTAATATTTGAGGTTTCCTCTTATTCCAGCTGGCCTCTGTAAAAATGAAGAAAAAAACATAATAACTATGATGATTAAAGCAAGGGGGTGTATCTCATTGTCTGTAAGTCATGCTGCAGGTCCACAGCACATAGCCTTGCTGTACACTAGCCTTATTGCTAGCGAGCTACAAACCTGAAAACATCTCTGAAGCTAACAGAGTGATCTCTGGTTTCTGAGACTCAATCCAACAAGGGATTGGGGGTAACTAGCTAGCTGTTTTGTAACGTTTGCAAGCTAATTGACTATGTCAGTGTCTACTTGCTCACTAAAAGGCTGGGTTTATTTTGCATTCTTTGCAATTTTGCTGTTTTCTGTCTATTAACTCTTATTTTCCTTATTTTACTGCCAGCATGGTAACCTGTAAAGGTTGATATTGGAACATAATACTATTAAAATCTTTATAAATAAGTGTTTGTTGTAATTTTTACATGACCATGTTCCACTCTCTCTTAATCCATTAGAATTAAACAGGCTGTTTGTTGCTGTGCCTTTAAGACTGATGTATGTAAAGTAATCTAGGCTGAAATACTCTTTGTAACCACAATTTGAAATAACAGGGCAAAACTGCTGCAAACTGAATAGGCTGATATGTGTAAATACACTGCTTTTTGTGACATCACAAAAACGATGGACTTCAAACCTTGGTTGTTTTTATTGCTTAGTTTCAGTTTATGGACTGTATGGACTGGAAAGGTGATGATATGCTTAGAAACCTGAACCGTATATATTCATATTCATATTACATTATTCTTCTTTCAAAAATGTGAGGAAAAAATGGTTTCTAAAAGGGCCCTTTAACAAGCTGAAGAACCGTCTACTACTACTAAGGTAAGTGTAAGCAAATGTGCAGGGATATCTAGCTTAAAAGCCACTAAATGCTTCAAAGAAACTTTCTAAATGACTTTTTAAGATGTGATGCTATGCATTTTACAAACGTTTCTCAACCACTATAATGTTTCTTGTTGGACAGATAAAACACATTATGCAGAAATTTGTTCACATATGCATGGCAGTAGCCAATCAAAATGGAACTGTGGTTATCACTACAGATATCAGATGTTTCATGCGTGTGTGGGCACGGATGCTGAGACTGAGACTATCCTTCAAGTAATAAGATTTGGTGAGTCAATTTCTCAATCTATCACCCAATAGATGTGGAACTGGGCAAAAGAGGTGTATTTCTTCCATTCCAAACCAAATTTCCTAAAATATTTTTTGACATCTTTTGGGCATTCGATCCAATTATTCACCAAAACTTTCCACTGCAGCCAAGTCTTTGTAAAGTAAGATTTCAACAAACACTTCTTATTCCAGTCATGTTTTCCAAAGAAACCCTGAAAAATGAAGTAGCCTATTCCCCTATTAAATTTAATATAACAGGAATATAACGGCATGTAAACAGAATAACCTCTTTAACCTGATTGTTTTCTTTGTGGACCATTTCTTTAGGTCAGTTAGGGCATCTGCAAAATAACTAATGTTATATATTACATTAGTTTACAACTGAATTGAGACGTTATCTGTTGCATTAACTTCTGAAGTAGCAGTACCTGGAGTAGAAGGGCTTGTGGGGACCAGAGTGCCTGGAGTCGTGGCAGACATACCTGTGACTGGGTCCGTAGTGACTGTGGCTGGGTCAGAAGTGCCTGTGACTGGGTCAGAAGTGCCTGTGACTGGGTCAGAAGTGCCTGTGACTGGGTTAGAAGTGCCTGTGACTGCATCGGAAGTGCCTGTGACTTGGACAGAAGTGACTGTGGCTGAGTCAGAAGTGATTGTGGCTGCATCAGAAGTGACTGTGGCTGGGTCAGAAGTGACTGTGGCTGGGACAGAAGTGACTGTGGCTGGGTCAGAAGTGACTGTGGCTGCGTCAGAAGTGACTGTGGTTGCGTCAGAAGTGACTGTGGCTGGGTCAGAAGTGACTGTGGCTGCGTCAGAAGTGACTGTGGCTGCGTCAGAAGTGTATTGGGTCGCGGCAGACATGGTAGAGTCAGTCATGCCTTCAAAAAAAGAAAGAAAAAAGCATAACTATTACTTTAATTAACATTTTCATGTTTCCACTGCAGCAATGGCCAAGAATATATCTGATATGAGATACATTTTCAGTTTTAAACAGCACAATATCTACAGTTACACACCCTGGTCCAACATTTTCTACTGTTAGATGCCCTTATCATATATTTTTATGTGACTAGAAGCACTAACCAGGGTCAGGTCGATACTGCATAAGGACTTTGGAATGTCATAAAATATCAAATGACACACTTTAAACACACACTTTAAAACAGAGTTCGTTCCTTTTAATATAAAAATAAGACAACTTAAGGTTAACTACAACTGCATTAATCAGTAAGAGATTAATGTTGATGCTGCTAATCCAAAAACGTTCCACATATTTTTTGACCAGAGTTAGCATATTATTATAAAAAATAAGAGAGGTTTTTGTCGATGCAAAAATACTCTACTTATGTATGTGCATAACATATTTAGTAAAATATAGACACAATATAGTACAGTATACAAAACCTAACAAAAGAGATAAAAGCTGGAATAGCAGGGCAAGCACTGTCATTATTAATATAAGACATGAAATGATTTCCTCATGGGCTAGAGCGATAAAGATCTCCAGCTCGCTCACAGTATGAAATATTTGTCATAACCCAACAGGACCTGACTATCAGGTTCGGTCAGGTTTGATCAGGTTTGTAGCTCTTTTCTCAGATATTTCTCAAGCTTGGTCAGGTTCAGATTTCTTGTTCATCCTTCCCCAAACAGCCAACATTACTGCTTTACTTTTCCCTAATTTAGTCTAACACGTTTCCTGCCTTAAACAATGAATCTACTTTTATTGTCTTGAACAATGTTTACTCTGCCACGCTGGAGAACTTTGCACCGAAACTCACGAGGCCATGAGAACAACACATCCTGTACACTTTAATCAGACTAAAGCCTTTTATTGCTTGAAGTCAATGACTGATGAAAACAGTTGTTAAATAGAATTGAAACTTATTCTTGGTTAGCAGAAAATTACGTTACTCATTTTTTAAATTTAGTTTATTGATGATCTGGTGAAAGATATTTAAACTGTCTCCACTGGTGGCAGTCAGGTTCAGGTCAGGTTGGGACAGAATTTTGTCTGAATACAATCAAGCTCAGACAGAGGTCTCCTGGGCTACAATTGAGTTTGGATTCAAAACTTCTGCTTTGCTGTAAGTAGGGTAGGTTCAGGTCCAGCCATCAACGTGGTCCAAGGTATCTAAGGCAACTTGGTGTGCAAATCTAAAATATTGATAAAATTACAATACCTATAGACATCTTACATATCTTAGGTGATAAAACAACAGTAATCTAAAAGGACAGGTAAAGGAAGGATGGAAAAATTTTGCAAACAATAAAACCAACCAAATCAATAAATGTTCCCTCTATTACTACCTCCACTTTTAAATCATGAAAACAACATTCAAGCTAAAAGAATCAGAATTTTCAAACATTCAAATAGTCATGAAAGTTTAAAAAAATAAACAGAGAACATGCAAATTAGCTTGTTTCCAACGTTAGACGCTCGTCTCTGCATTCTCAAAAGAACCATGTCTGAACTCTATCGGCCACCAGAGGGAAGATCTGATCTGAGTATGTCTGAGGTCTGAGTGTTTTGTCTAATGATGGAAGCATAGAAAGATTACTGCATCACGTCTAAGGCAAACTTTCAACAACTTTTAGTGAATTTATCAGGTTTTGTTATGTCTAACTAACCCTTCACAAACTCACTGTTTTCCAGCTGTAAACGTATGAGGTGAAATACGATGTGGCTAAGCTAATAACATGATGAGGTGAAAACAGACAATTAGAAATAATAGAAATATAAAAAATTATATACATTTTTAAGTAGAATATTTTCTATAGCAGTATTTTACATAACTGGACTAAGTGGTTAAAGATGATGAATACATTATTTTATGTAATTATTTTAGAGGCTCAGTATTCGAATGTTTTTTTAAAGAATACTTTACATATTCGAATATGGAATCTGACTGAAATTACTGAAACGGTCCATGTTAAAAAATAATTACCTCAATGAAGTAACATCAGTACATGTGAAATTAGCTACTAAAACCAGCCTTAAATGAGAAAAAAAGTAGCAGGTCAAAACTCTCTTAAGCTCCACAACCCATCAGCATAGAAACTGAAGTCTGTTGGCTCTATTCTTCTCTTTTTTTATTATTTTTCTTCAAAAATGCTAAAGCTCGAATGGGAGACAGACATGTGTCCAGCAAAGCAGTCTAACCAGCAGAACAAGTGAAATAAAACACAACAAAAATAGTATTAACACTATAAGTATTAAGAGCTATAAAGATGTTTGTGAATGACTAAACTGTGAAACACTAAAACATAACTGAATAAAAAGCAGTTATAACTGAGGAAATGTAAATGTAACAAGCTCCAACACTGATACTGTTCACTCACTTGTCGTTGTTGTGCTTGTCACCGCTGCTGTTGTTAAGAGGCAAAAGATGAAGAGCTGCTTCACTGGCGCCATTTCAATAATCCTTATTTAAGACGTTCACAGATAAATAATGTGTTGAATGAGGAGAGAGAGGTCAGTGTTCAGCTGCAACCTCCTCTGGAGCTCCTCTCTGTCTAATGGCTCAGGTGTTGGACACTCTTCAGGTTTTAAGAGTTTTATTCCCCACCTGTTTTCCGCTCTCAGGGCATGTGAATACGATCAAGTCAATCGCAGCGCAGGGGGCGGGGCTTATCTGAATACTAACGGCAAATGAAGCGGTGTTTTTCTGAATAAAGGCTGCGCTGAGTGAATCAGACAAAGGAAAGTTCGGCAACAGAAAGTCTTCCGAAAGCTTTTTCAGACCTAAAGGTCACCTAAAGAAACAAGTAAAGGCAAGACTGAAATGGATAAAGCTAAAGTAATAGTTCATTAACTGGCACAACCTAGACTACTTTAACAGGGCGGCAGTGAAATGTAGTGGGTGGGCATGTGCTTAGTTACTTGGAATATGAAAGTCAAGGCCTACATTCAGTTGTGCACCAGTTTAACCATTGCTGTGTGTACAGTTTGGTCTTTGAATCAATAAGATGAAGACGACAACCTACCATGAGTTCAGTGTCAAGCTTGTGACAACAGAAGAACCCTTTTTGGTGCTATATAGAACCGTTTTCAGAAAAGAAATATATAGAACCATATACACACAACCATATGCACATTCTCCATCAATCTGAAGAACCATTTCACAATGCAAAGAACCAGTTAAGCATGAAATGGTTCTATATAGAGCTCATGGTTCTGAATAGAACCACTGCCTTTACTAAAGTACCCTTAAAGAACCGTCTTTTCTAAGTGTTTCTAAGTGAAGACAAAGTTGAAATGGAAAAAAAAACACTGAATGAACTCCATGTAAACTCAATCTATAATAATAATTACAATTATAGTTCATTCAGACAACAAACTGCTTTGGAAGAACAGGTGAATGAAATGTAAAGAGAAAATATATGGAGTAGATGGAGAAATATAATACCGTAGTGATGCCACCCCCCTGCTGCAGTCCCCCGACTATTTAACGGGGTTCTCACTGCTCCAGTACTCTCAAGTACTCAAGTATCAAATTAGCTTAAATAGCTGAAATAAAGTTGTTGTTTGGTTTATTTCAGCTTCTTATTTATCACCACTGTTCATATATCCTACATATAACTGAAGTGTCAAGTAGAAGACAAGAAAAAAATTTAATGGTAAAAAATTAACAGTAAAGAATCAAAACAGCAGCACCATTTGGGTAAAGTACTGGGACATATAATTTGCTTCCATAGATCAAAACGGGAAAAAATGATGACTTTGAGTAAGGAATTGAGAAAGGAGTAAGGAATGCTGACACGTTTCAGAGAGAGAGTGTCTAGAAAAGTCTATAACCACTTGGCCTAATTCGATCCTATTTTTTAACTGCAAGAGACTGACAGCCCCATATGCAGTGACAAACTAGACACAGTCCAAATATGAACATATGAGGATACAACTGTTCAGGAGGAAGAATAGAGATGTCAAGCTTGTAACAATAGAAGAATCCTTTTTGATGCTATATAGAACTCTTTTTAAAAAGGTTCTGTACACTATTAGAAATAAAGGTGGTGTGCAGGTACATTTTTCATTCATCAAGGTACAAGCAGTGTAAATGTACCCTCAAAGGTACAACAGTGGTTTTAAGGTCCAGTTGTGTACCTAAAGTCAAGTCAAGTCAAAGTTTATTTATATAGCACTTTTTACAACAGGTGCTGTCACAAGCAGCTTTACAGAAAAATCCAAGGGGGGTCCAAGCCCCCATGAGCAAGCCAATGGCAACAGTGGCAAGGAAAAACTCCCTAAGAGCAAAAGGAAGAAACCTTAAGAGAAACCAAGACTCAAAAGGGGAACGCATCCACCTCTGGTCGACACCGGATAGCAAACAGCATTAGTATAAAATATTAGAATACAAAACAGGAAAACAGGTGGAGCAATGGTTAATTAGATAGTCTGAGTTTATGCAGCAGCAACATCAGGAGGGTCAGTTCATGCAAGTGAGGTTTGCACAGCGTTGTACAGCGTGAAGCTCCATGGTGGTCAAAACAGTGCAGCCAACGGAGATGGAGCTCTGGTGACTCTAGCAGCTCTGGTGGCTCCCATTTGGTGACTCAGGCAAACGTCGCTCAGGGGCTCAAATAAAGGAGAGAGAAAGAGAGAGAGAGAGAGAGAGAGAGAGAGAGAGAGAGAGAGAGAGAGAAATTGATTAACAGCACAGGTCTGTTTATGGAGAGAATTAAGTGAGTAATAGTGCAAACAACTGATATCAGCAAGTTTATAAGTTTTTAGTCTAGTTTTAAATGTGGAGAGTGTGTCTGAGTCGGGAGATGATTCCACAATTTCGGGGCAACGTAGGAAAATGCTCAACCACCTGTTGTGGTTTTTCTAATTCTAGGAACTGTCAGCAGGCCATTATTTTGTGTGCAGAGTGTACGT